GTGCAAATCTGAGATGAAATTTTTTAGGAAGATGCATAGAAGAAGAGAAAACAACTCTGCAGAGGACAGGAAGCTACCTTCAAAGTTTCAAACTGTATCCATTGTACTGACTTATTGAGACCCTATTGAGGACGATAGCAGGTATTAGGAGGTCGAGATTTTCGAGTGGTTGGGCGAGTCCGTAGTGTGACGGAGGAGCTCATACGGTCCGATATTTTATGCTGAGCTATTTGGTTCTGCTGTAAAACCTTCAATGCTTTATCGCTAGGAGTTATGACCCACGGAGTTTTCTGTCATACTAGGATAAGGTGATTAATGTCTTGAATCTTTAGTCCACCAGTTACAAGAATTAGTCAGAGCAGCTGTTGTGCAGATTGTGTTATCCTTCTTAGTTTTAAGATGGTTTAAGATTTTTGTTTTCCACCCCAAATAAAAGAGATTCTTTAAGTTCCTATGATGGCTGTTCTTTCAAGCTATCTCATACTGTGGATTTTGATTAGTAGCAAGGCTAATTACAAAGATAAGTATATTGCTTGCATATATCCTTAAATCCAAACATCTTTTGACAAGCTGGCCCCGGGAGGGGATAAGGTGTTCTTGGCTCTTGAGCATTATACTTTCTCAGGATCCTCGATTGCCAGTTGTCTACTTAATCTCTATTGTATGTCCCCAATGTTCATCCTGATATATTTCTGGTAGTTTTCTAGAATTTTGCTAACAATATTATTAATAATATTTTTTTGAGTTGTTAGAGAAGTGCAGAATGAGGAATATGAAGATGAGAGCGAATCGGAGCCCGAAATGATAAGACCAGTCCTACCGGTAAATAAGTCATTCGATCTACATGTTTTTCTTGTTTAATCGATATGAGGTATAAAAATTTGAAAAATTGATGTTGCTTATTATCCGGGAATGCAGTTTTATGTTCTTAATTATAGTCTGATACATCTGGCTAGATAGTGCCCCTAAACCACCCATTGACAACTGCAGCGTTTAGATGAGGTGTGAATAGATTGAGGTTAGCTTGTAGCTGCAAGATCGCGTTGGATGTTTAGTGACCAAAGGAGGCTGTAAATCGGTGCTCGCAGTCTTGGGTCTAATGCAATGGAAGTGTTGCAGTTTAGAGCATTCCAAACAAACCAGCAGAGTCTTTCTTGGAGCTACAACTAATATGTTTTGTATGCACAAGCCTCAGGGAAGACAAGACTTAGGCGTGGCAGCTCATAAGGGTGCGGTGCCTTTGTTTCCAAGATCATCATCTTCTGACAATGAAGAACCATATATCAGCTCGGTAAAATAATTTTAATGCCTATTTACGTTATTTCATATTAGTTATTACATATAAATAGTTAAGTCGAGTTTTGTTTGTTTCATGACTTGGCGGGTAAGAGTAAAAATATGAATCATATAAAGTGCCAAGATCTCATTGGACCGGAAAAGATGAGAATTGTTGCTTGAAGTCGTGGTTCAATGATTCAAAAATGCTTGAGTTATGGCGTTTGCCTCTCGGATTGACCTATATCCAGATGATTGTGTGTGGTTTGATGTGCTTCCGACAACCTGAAGCTTTTATAGAGACCCGACGCTGACATGACATTATTGGAAGAAGATGCTATCGCACTAAAGTCGAGTTAGCGGTGGCCTGCTGACAAGGTTGTATTGGAAAATATCTCAATTAACAATGTGGAATCTACACATATCATCTCCTTCGGCAACCTTTTTTCAGATACTATCATTATTTGAATTTGATTATACTAGTTTTTTCTATAATTGATTCACGTTTTTTATTGTGCTAGAGCGTGAACAACTCAAGAAAAATGTGCAACTTGGTCAGATATTGGTAGCTCCCGGAAAGATAGTTGCTGGCTGGAGGACATTGGCGTCTTCAATGTGATCCGAACCACGCCAACCAGGTTGTTCACTTCGTTCCTTTAGGTCCTAATGCTATGCGTGTTTGGGTTGATATCCCTAGGATCTCTAGTGCATCTCTTTGGAGGCCGACATCTGAGTTAGAATGCATTGAAGATGTCGTTGGTACGACAATAGCTTGGCCGTCAGACAAAGTTATTATGCTTTGAAAAGCTGGTAAGTTATACATAATTGGTGACTACTTTAAATGTGTGCTCAAGAGATTTTCTCCAGTTCTGTTATCATGCAACCCTAGATTCTAAAATGAAATAAGATCCTATTAGTCTTTCATTTTGTTTGCATTTTGATTTTTATGATTTTAACTTTACTGTGTGATTTACATGATTACCTGATGTATTATTGTTAGTATGTTCTGGTATGCATGTATCCTCTTCTACATGGAGATTTTCTGTTCCAGCATAGTATGTGAGAATCAAGTTAGCATCTAGTTATTATTTGTAACTTCATTGAGGAATATTTTATATCGAATATATCTTGTGCAGGCATGGGCGTCATCATGTAGTTCATTTGTATATTTTGATTATTCTTATCTGTAGCCTTTTAGGAGCGAGTCTCCCTGGTCACTGTGTATCTCATGGAAATACTGGCCTTACATCATAAACATGCACCTGTAAATAGTTTCCGTTGTTTGGATCTGTCATATTGCAAAGTGTACATCTCATTTTATGCACGGAGTGTTTCTTGTTTAACTTATTTGCTTTGTTAGCAAGCAAATCAATTACAAGTCATATTGCAAAGTGTGCATCTCATTTTATGCTCAAGTAGTTAATAAACTTTCTGGAAGAAAACCAATTATCAATACTTATTATCCAAACAAGGTGCAAGTGCTGTTAGAATCTGAGAATTTACGATGGTCATGATCGTTGGCAGTGGATTTGGCTACCTTTCTAAAATGAAATAAGATCCTATTAGTCTTTCATTTTGTTTGCATTTTGATTTTTATGATTTTAACTTTACTGTGTGATTTACATGATTACCTGATGTATTATTGTTAGTATGTTCTGGTATGCATGTATCCTCTTCTACATGGAGATTTTCTGTTCCAGCATAGTATGTGAGAATCAAGTTAGCATCTAGTTATTATTTGTAACTTCATTGAGGAATATTTTATATCGAATATATCTTGTGCAGGCATGGGCGTCATCATGTAGTTCTTTTGGTGACATTCCGTATGATTTATTGCTTTCCTGCTTAGAGCACCCTTGGTTAACTGTGGAATGGTTGGTTCTTTACTCTTACAGTCTGATGATTTTTTTTATTACAAGATCCTGATGTGGTTTGAAATAATGGCCAGTGAGAAACAACTCGGTGAAGCGCTTGAAACTTGGCTTGCTAATAACAATAAATCTTTGGATGGCTTACCTAGCAACTCCAGCAGTGACAAATTCGATATTCTTAAGAAGGTAAACCACAAAATTTCTTTATTGTTTTTTAGTAAAACATCTTTCTCTATCATAAATAATGATATTTGTATGATTTATACAATCCTCCTTTTATTACTGGTCCAAGCATTAGAGGATCATCCTTTTCTTGCAGTTTTCAGTTGCTCTGTGTGTTTTTTCCCCGAGTCAGATTGACTTGATAGTTGATAATGATTGGTTTATAAACTAAGTTGCATCCCGAAGTGCCACTAGGAGATGTGGTAACTTTATGCGGTGTTTTTCCTGAATCAAAATGAAATTGATAATGATTGGTTTATAAACTAAGTTGGATCTTGAAGTGCCACTAGGAGACGTGGCAACTTTATGCTGTGTTTCTATCATAAATTTCTTTTTTTGGTGAATCATCTGTTATGGTTTTCTCCAGGTAAAAGTTTCTCTTTTGCCTTTGGAATATGCTGCAGGTATGTTGATTGACTTGGAATTGATTTTCTGCAGTGTTTCATCTTTCCTTGGCGTCAGTTTGAAACATGGTGCAAACAATTGCTGCAAGTCTAGGTTATAGATAAGATTATATATCTCATTTTCTGCAGTGATTCGACAGGATTGACCTGGGTGCTGGGTAGACTTTGCAGCTGTACAAGTACTCAATTGTTGAAGATGATGAGTCTTCCAAGTCATATGTAATGCAGCAAATTTAGTTTCTGTTGTTCTGTGTACTATGGTTAATTTCTTGTACTCCATGTTGGACTATCCAAAGACTAGTATTTGTTTTTTGGCACATTTGTGTTGACTCTTCTTGTATGCTACAACTTGGTTATGTATCAGTTTGAATCTTTAAATGAAATATTTGCTTTTATGGTTGTCACAATTTGGAGTTATTTCTAGTTCAACCTCAAAGGTTTATAGGCACAACTGAAATGCTATAAGAAGTGGAAACAATTGCTGAAATGCTATTAAAAGAAGAAAGACAACATTCACTGAAACGCCATTGTAGTAACTCAAACGCTATCAAATGTAAGATAATAGCAGCGTTGAAATGTTATGAATGAAAACTAACTAATAGCGTTTTTCAACCGCTATGAAAGATATTTGTCATAGCAATATAGAAACGCTATTGAATACTCTTTTATAGCTACATAAAAACGCTATGGTTGGAAACTAAATAATAGCGTTTTTATGTAGCTATAAAAGATATTTGTCATAGCAATATATAAACGCTAGTGAATACTCTTTTATAGCTACATAAAAACGCTATGGTTGGAAACGTTTTGATAGCGTTTTGGGAAACGCTATGTAAAGCCACAGACCTACTATAGCGGGTTCGGACACAGCGTTGATTAAAACGCTATGAAATAAGACCATAGCGTTTTTCGGCCGCTATCGTTGATTTCAGGTGTTGTAGTGTCCTCTTGATGTACAAGTATGATACAATGTGCAACTCATAATAAAGCTCAAATATAAGAATTTGTTTTCTAATAATGAATGAGAACACAATGAAGCTCACTCTCACAACATCACTCACCACAACCCATAATATAGTGTATGTAATCCTAAAAGCTCAATAGGGATGTGTGTGTGATAAATGAGTATAAATAAAATCTAACTCAATTTATAAACTAGCAATGATACAAATATAAAAATTAGTATAAATTGCTAGATAAAAGAGTTAGAAAATTTTCTCTATAAATACAAAGGAGGATGAAGAAGATTGAGGATGAATTTCTCAATTGATAATGCAAGCTTCCTCTTTGTAAACACAAACACAAACTTAAGAAACAAGCTTTTAAACTCTTAAAACTCTTTTTTTTAAAAACCCTCCTAGATAATCTTCAGAAGTGAAATAGCAAGGGGTATATATAGGATGAAAAACCAAAGCTCAAAACCCAAGAAAATCCACAAAAAGACAATTATAAAATACTGAAAAAATAGCCGTTGGGACAAATCAGTCGACTGATGGGTTGCGTCAGTCGACTGATGAGTTGACCGTTATTAACAAACGACAGCTTATCAGTCGACTGATAAGCATGGTCAATCGATTGATGACCTCATCAGTCAACTGGTTAGTCGACCAGAATTAAAACAAAAACTTTTGAAGATTGCAGGCAGTTTTATTAGTCGACTGATAAAAACCTTCAGTCGACTGATAACATGTTTTTAGCCTGAATTGAATAGTACAAACAAAATTTAAACCTCATTTAAAAATAGCAAATAAATTCTAAAAAATATAAAACTTTGAAAAAGTTTATAAACATGAATATAAGCATTTTGGAACAGGAATTTTCAATTTGCTCTTACCATTTGTGAAATCTCAGAAATATTCAAAAACACTAAAATACATGTTTAATAAAACATGTGATTTTTGATTTTTGACTCATAACAAGTTTTGAAAACTTATGGAATATTTATATGGACATAATAAAAGATGTTTATGATGTATATATAGTCCAAAACATATTAACATAGAATTTGCATAAAAGTACCTATGTTTTGAGAAAATCACAAATGTATATGTGTGTGTATATTTGAGCTTATAGAATTAACACACATTATATGAACCTATACTAAGTATACCAAGAAATAATCGTCTGAAGCTTGAACTTGATTGGTTGACTTGATTTGCATAGGCTTCAATATCCATATAGCTCGTTTTCCTGTGTATACTAAACAACATAAAAACAAAATACTAAAACCAATATTAGTTGTAAATTGTTTGTTAAATCATCATCAAAACAAGAAGGTCAATAGGATGGTGGTCCACATCAGCATCTGCTTTACTTGTGTCGGTTGATGAGTGGAGGAGAGGTCACCTTAGTATTTAATGCGAAGTGATTAGGGGCATGGTGGTGCCGACATGGTACGATGTGTCATAAGTAGTGCAGGGATGGAGAAATGATGGTGCCTGCCAAGCATTTAATATGATGCCAATGCGCTATCAGCTGGGGAGGTCGGGTTGAAGTCTTCCTCTAGCTTGTAGCGATGGGTGTTAATAAGTAACGTCTTTCGAGTCGACCCTGTAAGGTGTCAAATAATTGGTCGAGTGGTCTCATAGCGAGTCGTCTTTGACAAGAGGACCAACAAGTACCGCCCTTCGAGTCGATCTAAAGAGATGTCGACTTGGCGAGTCGGCTAAGGCGGGATTTTTGGTGACCCTGACCATCAATTCGATTTGAACGGTGCATGTAGAGAGATATCTATCTGTTACTCGAAAAGGGCCATACTTTGGCGACTAAAAACACCATAATAGTTAGCCCCTTTTACTTGGAGTCGGCTTGGACTGGGTCTGAGTGAAATAAGAGCAGCTCTAGATGGATGTGAGTGTGCATCAAATGAGGGAACTAAAAGGTCTTTTTAGATTTCACGTGGCTGATGTCACCACACATTCCTTTTGACTTCCACAGCTCCGCTTTTCATGCCAAATTACGGGTTATTCGAGGTTAGTGGGCTGCGCCTCAATCCTTAAGGTGCCGCTTTGGATTCTAAGAATTAATCTTGGCTATTGGCCAAAGCTTGATCCAGCCGCTCAGATTCCAGCAGCTGTGAATTCAACTGCTTATATATAAAGCCAAAGCTAGGGAATTGGCGGTTATTACTTTTTGAAATTCCCTTCTGAGAACACGAGATCCTTCCCGCCCATCTTTTTCTAGTGATTCCTTCTCCCTTCTATGATGGTATCAGATCATGTAGATTAACAAGCTCTTCTGGCAAAGTTCCACTCCAAGGTGACCCAAGCACAGATGAGAACGCTCCACGGGAGGTTTAATATCCCCCGAGAGTATGAACTGATGGCCCCGACGAGGTCAAAGGCAGTCTATGATCATGGACCGAATCGGGATCCACTTTACTTGAAGCACTTGGAGTTTGGCCTACGGTTTTCCTTGCATCCTTTTCTTCAACAAGTTTTCACGGCTCTAGAGGTATCGTCGGCGCAGATGAAGTCGAACCCTATTACAACATTGGTAGGATTCATGGTGATTTACCATTTGTTGGCAATAAAGCCATCTTTGTGAGTCTTGGGCCGTCTGGTGAGGATTAAAGTGAACCAGACCGAGCCCCATTTCCACTTCCAGATGGTGGGGAAGTACAAGCTCATCACTGATCTTCCTGACTCGAACAAGGATTGGAAGGAGAAATTCGTCTGGGTCTTAGGAGATGACTTAGAGATGGGCTGCTCGAACTGGCCGAAGATAAGGAGGGAAGCGCTGATGGCTGGTGACCTGATTGACGCCAAGAGGGATGCACTGGATCAAATCAAGGCATATGCTGGCTCTCACCGAGTCGAGCACCAGCTTGACAACTCAGTCTTGTAGGTTGCCATTGTATCTGTTGTGTCTCCCTTCGCCAAGGACCAGGAGAGGGCTTCAGCCCTGATCTTAGGAACGACAGAAGTGGCATTGGCGTAGTTCGTTCCTCTGGCCGACCCCCAAGAAGGGCCATCAACAAGGCTTGAAAAACATCTCCACCGCCACTTACACCCGATGGAGGCCGAGACGACCGAGGCGAAGCCTTCTGCCACCCTCATCTATAGGAAAAGGAGGAGGCCACAAAGGGATAAGGAACAAGTACCTCAGGTGATGGCCAAGGTGGTCGAGAGTGACGTCATCCATGTGGATGAGTCAGCCCTGGAAGAGCAGACCGAGGCTCCTCGAGAAGAGGTTAGAGTCGAGGCAAGAGCCTTTGCTGATGAGGGTGGGTTATTCATCAACTGCAGCAAGTCGTCCCGTCGGGGGAATAAGTTGGTTGGAGTGGAAACAACACCTCCTACAGGGTTGGAGTATCCCTATCCTCATCGTGTTGCTGAGAGTGGGGAGGAAGAATAGGACAGGACGAGGCAGTACCTCATTATGTCTTCGGAGGTCGGCCCTTGATTTGGACAGGAGCCCAACCTAGAGCATCTCTACCAGCCTACTCACCATCTTAATATTAGGGGGTTGGTCCTTAGTTCTCGCCTAACTCAAGCGAGGGCAGTCAAGCAGTTCTGGCTTCCTCAGGACGACGAGTTCTTGAAGGTGGTTCCCAACGCCAGCCTCCCCAAAAGCCTTCAGAGCTATTTGGTTCGGGGGTATTGGTGGAGCAAGAGATATTCGGTCAGATGGAGCTGATTTGGACTTCATATCTTAATCTCTTAGGGGACGTAGCTTCCCTGAGGGCTTGCAGAGGGGTCAACTCGGAACCAGCTATAAAGACACCAACCCCAAGAGCTTCTGTGGTCGATAGGCTCAGGCGAGAGCAGGATGAAAGCAACAGGTAGGATAGAAGACTGGATAAGGCTCTCTAGGGGAAGGCCCACGCTAAGGTGCAGGTCGAGGCTAAGAAGTAGGCGGTGGTGCATGCGAAGCGTCAGCTGGACGAGGAGCATGCATCGCTCATCAAAGGCTAAGAAGTAGGCGGTGGTGCATGCGAAGCGTCAGCTGGACGAGGAGCATGCATCGCTCATCAAACTTCAGGGGGAGGTCGCCCGCCAG